CTTGTGTCGATACAGAAAAAATGTATCGTGTATCGCATGAAAACTCACGATGCACCGGTGCACCAATATATCGTTTCACCCCTAAGGTAAATACAGTTGTGTGGAACAGGGCATGAATAGATAGTGTTTGAAGGCCAGGCAGACCAGTAGGTCTTCAGTTGCATTATTAAACAGCACAAATCACAAGCTAACGATAGGGGCAGTAATTGTATGGCTATCAGCAATACATGTGTGAAAAAAAGGCACAACCATCTTTTTCCTCTTGTCAGTAATTGTCGCATCAAACTGAAAGACAAAAGGTGTCTGAACTTTAATTTGAAATTCATGTCAGTGTAATTGACAAATGGGATAGGAAACTTGCACATTTACTGATGGTTGTGAAGTTTTGTTTTGTTTGTTTGTTGGTTGTTTAACGCCGCACTCAGCAATATTACAGCTTTATGAAGGCGGTCTGTAAATAATCAAGTCTGGACCAGACAATCTAGTGATTGACATCATGAGCATCGATCCATGCAATTGGGATCGATGACATGCATCAACCAAGCCAGCGAGCCTGAACACCCGATCCCGTTAGTCGCCTCTTACAACAAGCATAGTCGCCTGGTTGTGAAGTATACTGATAGTGAGCAGCAAGGGTAGATCCAGCAGTTTTAATAGGAGGGGAGGGGGAATTGTCTACAACATACTACATTTGTTATTTCAAGAGCAGGCAGATTTTTCAAATCCTGTTTATAGGTCACCACTTGGTTGACCAAAATTAAAGTTTGAACATGCCACCTTAACTGAGTTTTACCTGTTCTATAATTAAATGTAATAAGGGTCATTCATTATCCCCCGCCACGAAGTGGGGCAGGGGATATAGGAACAGAGTTCATCCTTCCGTCCGCTTCTCAAAAGGGACAAATTTTCAGAGAAATCAAACTTTACACACTGATTTTGCTGGTCAGGACCTCAAATGAGTTCAAAATTGGTGTCAACTTTGTGCATACTGTGTGCAATGGTGACAAGTTTTCTCAGGAACCACTGAAGTTGCATGAATGAAAATTTGCATGTTTATCTCAGAGATACTTTTCAAGACTGAGTTTGAAAATTGGACCCAGAAATTATTTGTTTACAGAGTTATGGCCCTTGATCCACGTTATTTAACTTGTTGCATTGTGTGTACAATGGGGACAAATCTTCTTAGAAACTTCTGAAGTTCTGAAGTTAGCTTATCTATGAGATACTTATCAAAAGTTATTATTTCTTAAGAAGGGGCCTTTTGTCATGTTTGTGTGTATTCATTTCACATTTGATTTCACTTTTTCAATTTTTCTGATGACATAAAGTGCCTCAGTGACTATATCTTTTTAAGGCTTTATATGACTTTTTATAGTTTATATTCACTACTGTATGAACAAACAAAATTCTAATATGCCCCATAGTGGGTGATATTATAATGTTGTTTTCTTGTTTAACAAGTTGTCTGTAGGATTCTATCAGCTGCTATGTTTCTACAGGTGTGACAGTATTCAAAAGGTGCAACAGAAACTCGACTACCTCAAGTCTCTTCTGGATGATACTGTACATTTCAAGAATATCTACCGCTTTGCATTTGACTTTGCCAGGGTATGTTTCCTCGACATTATTACTGGATGGTAGTATATTGGATAGGAAAGAATCAATGAATCGGAAATGAATTAATAAGGTGTGTACAGGTATGCAACAACTTTCAGCTCTTAGATTATATGCTCCTTGCTTATGACACATGTAGACCGCCTCCGTGGTCTAGTGGTAGAGCGTCCGCCCGGAGAGCGGAAGGTCCGGGGTTCGATCCCTGCCGCGTCATACCAAAAAACGTTTAAAGATGGTACTTGTTGTTACCCTGTCTGGCGCTCGGCATTAAGGGGCTAAAACAAGGACTGGTTGGCTCGGAGTCAGTATATTTTGTCTGAGTGGGGTATTCATGTTAAACTGCGGCATGGTATCTCAGTGAGCTAGCACTATAAATCAGCATCAGTCCGGACTAGTATAAGCAGCCACACAAACACACACACGTACATGCACGTCGCTATATAGGTGCAATAATATGGACACGACGTTAAACCCCATTTCACCTCACCTATGACCATGGTAACTTATTCCCTGATTATGATGGAAAATTCATCAGGGATCCATGTTATGATATATTGGGAACTTAATCTTCACTTGTTGAAGTGAGTCTGGTGAAACAGTTAACTAGCAATAGTTCACACACTACAGTTAGATGGGGAACAGGTGGCTTATTCTTCTAAAGCACCGCAATTTGCTGTGTGACCCTTAAGTATAGCAGAAATCTATGATGGAGGGTTTGGATCCCAAATTGTCCTGAGCATGTTTCTTGGTTTGTCAGCACCATACCCATGATTGTGGGTTTCACCAAAGAAGTAAACATTTAAGACCTGCATCCCTTCAAACTTCATTCCACAGGAAGTTGACACTGTGATGTAACTAAGATACTGTGTTAAACCAAACTCACTCCCACAGCTGAGTTAGATCAACATGATATTCACAAGGAAAGATGATGTGTGTGAGTTCAGTGGGGCAAACACAGCCATCCATAAATGCCTTTACTAACATTCAGAATAAATGCATATGGGGTGAAACTAAAGCTTTATTCTGGATTACCAGGTACAGGTAATATGAAGTTTCAGTAGATATCACTGTCACATGTCTTGCAGGAAAAAGATCAGAGAAGTATGGACATTGAGACGGCCAAGGCAATGTTGTCTCTGCTCCTTGGAAAACACTGGTGTTTGTACGGGTCCTTTCACCAGTTTCTTGAGGTACGACGACGATGAGGATGAGGATGAGGATTAGGATGTGGATTTTAGTGGCTACAGAACAGATTGAATGATTGAATGTCTTACATGTAATAGCTGAGATTGTACATATGGAGACCATGTGGAAGAAGGTTATGATTAAAATGGTAAAGCTATAAGTTTCACATCCATGTTGAGCTTCAAATTTTATAACAAATATGCGTTATGGACTGTTTGGTGAATCTTTTAATTATTGTGAACACATTATTGTGGTTCTAATGTGCAAGTTTCTTTGTGTCACTGATGGCCTCCAAGTGATGTGCTTCTATTTGTTTCAGCAATCCAAGTACAAAGTAATCAATAAGGACCAATGGTGTAACATTCTTGAGTTCAGCAGGTCCATAGCCCCAGATCTTGCCAACTATGACGAAGACGGGGCATGTGAGTTACAATCCAAACATACAAGTTTTCAACCAGTCAGAACTAGGTTGTTTAGGTCAGTTAGTGTGATAAATAAAACGACAAGATAGGATCGACCAAACCTTGTTCCCGACTTAATATGTGGTTTGGCCATTTGCGTGTTTCCTCGGATGACATTAATGCATTAAAATACAATGGTGATGATGATGATGATGATGATGAAGCAAAATGCCATCTCTTGAACACTTCTGGTAATTTGTCTGAGACTGTATTCACAGGAGTTTTAACCTGTACAAAAGTCAATTCTCATTACTCATATCTGATGGGGCAGAAGGATACATTGATAATTTAGCTCCTAATTCCTGTGCTCTGAATTTTATGCTGAATTGTGTGGGAAGTTCATAGTGTAAGGCCCTTCCATAGATTTAATTAGACTGTTTCTTTTCATTCCAGGGCCAGTTTTACTGGATGAGTTTGTAGAATGGCTTCGTGAACAAAACAAGATGTCAAGTTGAGGTTGGATGGCTTCAGTCAAGAGTGCTAGATGTGTCATCGACAGATGTTTTACACTGATTTGACAATATGTGGAGAAACATAAACTTGTGTGTCGGGTCTCCATGGCAACGGATGAATGTTTGCAGATGTGTTTGTCTTTCACTTGCCACCACGGTTGGTCAATGAAGCAATGCAATCCTTTGGTCATGTGACCTGCTGCAAGGCATTACGAACATGATCTTGCCCGCAGTGTGATTATGACTGTCGGGTCACCCCATCCAGCTACTTGTGCTTTATTCCATGTCTTGTAACCATGGCAACGGTGCTGTTGTTACAGGTTGTCCATGTTCCTGGGAGACTCGTACTGAGCAATCACTCTGTTGATATTAACATGATCTGGTAAGGGGTGGGGTTGGGTGGGATGGGGTTTGGGGCAAGAGAGTGAAAGATATTTTATCACTGGTACCAATGCCAGTGAATAGGAGCATAAGATTTCTTAAACCATACATGTTATTTACAACTTTTATTGTAAATGTTCAAGGTTTAATAACTACAAAATCACACCAAACTTGAATTTTGTTGTTTGCACTGCTGTCTGTGATGGAATGGAGGATGATTTAATGGAGCCATACTAATGTTTTTATGGGGGACATTTTACGTATTTACAGGAAACCCTACAAGTGTCAAATGTAATGGGAGACCAGGGTGTGACAAGGTTCCCAACACTCTACTGTTTGTTGTAAAGGCCAGCAAAATTGGATCAGTTGAATGATCAGATTCAGGATTGATTGTTGTTCAACGCCGAACTCGGCAATATTCCAGCTTTATGTCAACGGCGTGTAAATCATCAAGGCTGGACAAGACAATCAGTGATTGACATAATTGATCTACACAATTTTGATATGACATGCATCAACCACGTCAGTGAGCCAGATCCTGTTAGTCAGGCATGGGTTGCTAAGACCAATTCTGACCCGGATCTTAACATGATCTTGATTGACTATGTGTTGTCATACTCTAATGGATCATAATGTTGAAGACTGATTTTCCCTGATTGATTATTTACTGGCTGCCATGTTACTGCAGGAATGTTGGTGACTGCAAACAAACAAAACAAAATCAAATAAAACATGACATACAGTTTTGTTGCTGAAATTAAAAAATCCTATATACATTCTTTTTCTTGCAAGACCATGAAATACTGCCAGGAAAGAAATAGACTGCTGCCCGAGTGTCCCTCGGTAAAGATGAAAATGAGATTAAATGACCTTGTACCCACTCTTGCAATGAATAACAGAACACAGCTTGTGACTAACAATATTTATTGAAACACAAATTACAGATACACAGGTGATAAGGTTGATCAGGATGACCACTTCATATGTACAGATGAACTATCTACAGTGTACTCCCAGACTTGTCTTCAAGAATGAATTCAGCTGCCTGTGTCAAACTATGAAACGCATCAAGAATCGGTCCATGCAGTTTATTTACAGTATCTGTCGGCCTTCATTTTCTCTCGCCTGAAAAAAATGTCAGAAAAAAATCCTTTAACAATGATGAAAGAGAAACAGATACAGTCAAAGGACTCAAACTCCTGGGGACAAGAGAAATAGTTTGACACAATATTACTGTCTGAGGAGTAGAAGCATCTCATCCAATCCCCCAGTTGAGCTAGGTTCTTTACCATGTTCACCTTGCTCTGCTGCTAGATTGACACATCTGAGTTCAACACAACAGGGTCTGACTGGACATATTGATGTAACAAATGATAACAGAAAGTCCATGTGTTTTATCTACTCAGGATTCAACATGACTTCTCAGCTGATTGATGGTCAGTACCAGTAGTATATGAAATAAATCACATTTGGGTTTTTGACACCAAGATATGTGTGGGAGGAAGCACGTCCGAAGTTTTGTTTTAGATGACCCACATTTACGGGATAAAACCGAGAGGCATCAGCCCTGAGGTTATTTCCCTGAGGATAAGGGTTTTGAATATCATAAAAACCTGAGGGGAAGTGCCTTAACCAACTTATAAACAGAAAAAGAAACAAAACAACATTTATCAACTTTTTTGTGTTTCAAACACTCTTTCAATGAACCTTAGGAAATGGGCGTAAAATATCTGTTGCTGGCGTACAGTACTTGAATCAGACATTCTAAAAAGCACTGTGATTTAACAGTGCCTATGTAGCCTCACCGGGCTACAGATATGAAGGTTGCGTGTTCGATCCACGTGAATATAAAGAAAACATTTGTCATTTGATATTACATTTCATTACATTGTATTCAAATGCAAAATATATTTCTAGCGAGAAACATTCATATGTTACAATGTAAACGGAAGTTGTATTAATAAAATACCTGGGATATCTCAACACATTATGTAGGAAATATGCCTTGGATAGCTCATAAAATCCAGGGGATATTACAACATCCCTGATTATGAGATTTAACCCGACTGAAGAAAAATAGGATGACGTCACTGGAGGTTTATAAAATTAATCACATCTTCCATATACATCAGTAACTGATATGATGCCAAGCATTACAACAGGAAGTATGATGAAACTTCCATCATGTGGGCATACCACTGGAAATGTGAACATTCAAAAATAGCTACCAGTCCGGTCTGATCAATTGGAGATGGGTGGAGAGTCTCAAAATTCTTTGAAGTTGTATCATTGGGTACGTTTTAACTGAATCACCGATAGATTGGGAGGCAACGTGTGCACAGCTGATTGCTATTTCCGGCTTAGTTTATGAGAAAATACACACGGTAATCTTAATCTCTGCATATAAAACATTGCCATGGAGAGCAGGAAATACATTTTAAATGGTAAATCATCATGTCTAGTGATGTCTTATATCAAATTTGATACTTTTATATTGACCAAGTTTGTTTTACCTGTTTATTCACCTGGATTCGCTGAAGGGATACGATAACGCATATAAATTATTTGGACCCTGAAGGTAGCGTTGTTTGTTTTTTAAAATGTCCGGACAGAAAAAATAAAATGTCCGGTAGGCAATATTTTAAATCTGACATTTGAGATTCCCAATCAGACATGTCCGACGCATATGACTGTTTCCGGACCCCTGGTGGAGACGTGTGCAAAGAGGAGACAACTTGTACTCCCTTGTGCCATATCTGCCTTTTCACCATCATGTGTGATTGCATGGAAATGCACCTCAGTGAATGAGTGAGGTCGCATCTCATTTGGCAATATTCCAGCCACATCACATACCCCATTTTGGGAATCAAACTCAGGGTTTAGGTGGTGAGCCAACACCTTAACCACCCACCTCACCTATTGCAGCTACCACAATCTATGAGAACCCACCTGTCCAGCATGGTCTCGTGCAGACTTCCATCTTGTCTGGCCGTCTTCAGTGCTTTAACACTGTCTTCTGTCACTCTCAGGCGCCGGTCCTGGAAACTCTGGAACTTCTTCCTGGATTAACAACATAAACATTTCACCTCAGTCTGTGAACTTAATACCAGCCCAATGCCAATAAACATGGTAAATAAACTGACAATGAGAAGAAAGTAAAACAAATGAAAGTGGTGTCTGTTCAAACTGGTATTAGTCAAACCACCTCATCGGTGACTATTTGTCTAATCACATCAACCAATCAAATAGTTGATGACTGCCTGAGGTTACAGTGCAGTTTGCCAAATTACTAATTGTTTTAACATCATTCATCAATATTACAGCTTTGTCATGATGGTCTGCAATAATTTTATATCATTGTAAATAATCAAGCAACATCCAATGCTGTGGGGGTGCAAGGACACAAAGTCACTGAAATGACCACCCAAACCACCCTTTCGCAAATTACGACAAGCATGGGTCCAAATACTGGGAATGTATTCTTTCCCGTAATCCCCTTGGGGCCACTGCAAAAATGTGGTTTACACTGGGTCTACATGACATTGCACAAACGACATTTCATCACTAAGAAAATGCTAGAGAGCCCTTAAGACGACTGAGGCTATGAACACACAAATTGCAAACCTTTCGGTTTCTATTTCGTATCACATTTCTTTAATCTCTTACTTTCTTTCTGTATCAATCTGTCTACATTAGTCTGTACTTAATTAAGGTCACACAAGGATGTAATGAGCAGAAAAGCAAACCTAACAGAACTGGTGATGTAAACATGGTAAACAGATTGTGCATTGAGGGGAGATAACTCCAACAGGTCCTGCACACTGCACATGGGTACTCACACATAGTTGACCTCAGAGTCCTTGAGTGAACCTCGTTCTTCCTTAGGAATATTACCCAGTGGGTCCTCCTCACTTTCTGCACAAGATCGGATCTGAAATGATATACTTTCAGGTTACAATCATGTACCCAGAGAATCCACATGCAAGCAGACAATATAGTTATCAAAATAACCGCCTCTGAGTGGTGAGGGAAGAGCGTTTTCCTGTGTGGAAGGTGGAAGCTCGGTGGTTCAATCCTCTGGCCAAAGTCTTACCTAAAGGAAGTTAAAAGATGGTACTTGCTGTTACCCTTCCTAGCGCTTGGCGTTAGGGGGATAAAACAAGGCCTGGTCGGAGTCAGTATATTGTGATGTATCCATGTTATACTGTTGCATGGTATCTCAGCACTAAAACTGGCATACGTCTGGCCAAGTACAAAATTGGTCTACCAGTACTGTATATATACATAGTTACTTATGTTCTCTGCCCGAGGGTACATATAATACATTTGATCAATTGTTATCATGTTAGTTTAAAAAGTTAATACTGTATGGCTTACTGCAAAAATTTCAAACAGCATTAACATTTAAAAAATCTGTATACCGTAAATTGAGAAATGTGCGGTCTTGTGTACATACATTGAAACTACAAACACTACACTTATCACATGATAAATAGTACATGACTTGATCTATCGTTTTAAGCATGTTTCAGTAAAGAATAACCTCTAACCTTGATCATCTGTTCAGGCCCTGCTTTGCGACTCTCACACATTACTTCACCATCATCATTCGCTGATAGGAAGCAGCCATTGAAACCATTGATGGCCATTTTTCCCTGTAAACAGATCTCACAATCATCACATTTTCAAATCACACAGGTTCACAGTTGTTTAAAGTTGTTATGTCACTGCTTGGCAGCTTGAAGGAGGACAGACCAGTGATACAGAACTTAGATGTTTACTGCCATGATGAAATCCATAAGCAGGGGTATTGTGCTGACAAACCTAGGAACTTACTCAGACTGAAACACATCTTCCCGAGGCAAGGGCGTCCATTGACTATAAAAGTCCAGTTTCCACTCTGCCAAACTAGGCTTACATATTGGCTGGACTAACAAGTCTATGCATAGTCCAATCTAAATTGTGTAACCAACTAGATATCCGGTTTGTAAGCAATTTGGATTTCAACATGCAGATTTCGGTCAATTGCAGGTTATGCAAAGCATGAGTACCACCAACTGGGCATCATAAGATATTTTGCAAATTTGTTCATATGTTTAATCAAGGTGCTCAAGAGATTTGATGCAGTTTGTGGGGTAAACTCTGTTTTATTACAATAAAGATCATGATTATCGATCAGATTGTCTTGACTGGGCGCCACCATGTTGTTTGAAGCAAATGCAAGTGATAAGAGAGATGGAATCTGATTGGTCAATAGGAGGGACATAGAAGGGACATGAGTCATAATAGCCACTGATGGCGCTGCCTGGAAATTCCAAGCCACATGACAAAGCCGACATCTGGGAAATAGGGACCTGCTGATTCCTACATAATGTACCTGAACAGATCATTCTTATTACAGGTACTAAATATGAATTAATATGGCATAAGTTTGACATATGACACAAGTCAGAACTAAAGCTAAAACATCCTAGATACAGATAAGGGATTAACTTCAAACCCACAAATCTCACCTCTTGGAACACAGGTTCCCACTGTTCTCTGCTACCAATAGCATCTGATTTCCCAGTCACGCGACCTTCTGGGTCAATACTGAGATACTTTCCATAGCCTGACTTCAGGGCAATCTTTGAATCCCCCAAAGTAATGGCTGTCAGAATCTCGGTGGCATCTGGAGCATCCCCTGAAGACACAAAGGAGGGAATGGTACCAGTTACACTCCACATGAACATGATAAAGCTAAGATTTTGAGAAATGTACCACTTTTGTGAAACCCACAATAGGCAGACACACCAACAATCAGGACGAATCTGGGATTTAAACCCATGATCAAAGGCATCTGGCACCCCAAAGGGACGCAACTCCCATATTTAATCCCATAATTGTGCAGTTAATGGAGTACCTAAACAAGGTTTATCACCATCAAATACTGCATCTATCTTGCCAGCTTTATCAAACAGAAGAGTAGACTTTCAAAATGAAGCCTTTGCCTACGACAAGAGACCCAAGGACAGAAGACTGTGACAAACATAATGAAATTGATGTGGCTGATATACATACAGATGCTAATAAGGTCTTACATCAATATTGATATTGATATATTATTATTTATATTATTATGACATTGTTGTAAGTTTACAGATAAACACTGAAAGTTACCATGTTTAATGATAAATCAGGTTTTCTTATCAGTGTGATAACAGAAACAAAACACATTGGTTGTGCAAAATATTGTGTTAAATGATAGCTTTGAGAGTCAGCTGGGAAACACACATATTAGTTTGGCCTAGGCAGTGAACATCTAGCAGGCATGTCCAGGAGGGATCCATGTTTACCTGTATCCCTGACGGGGCCAAGATTGAGCCTTCCATTGTCAAGGGCGTTCATGTATGTCTGCACCCCAATCTCAATAGCAATGTTTCCTGTGATGTCTTCAAATTTTTCCACAATCCACCAGCCACCTGGGAACAAACCAATAGCTTTTCTTACAGTATGTAAAAATAAAAGATTCAACTAATGCCAGAACTAATACGAGGAAATAGTAAAACATGCTACACATATATTACTTTTTAAATATTCAAAACCCTCCATATGATATAATACACTATAAGCAATTGTTTTTACCATAAACTGACCAACTCAAACAATCATACTAAATATAATTATAATAATGAGATACATACATTTGTAAGGTGTTATCGGGGTAACACTTTCTCAGTAAACTACAAATTATTGTACTTTTCGGGGTTTAGTCCCATCCAGGGTTAAAACCTACACTCTCAGAGCAAGGCACTCAATCACCTGCACACAAAGTCAGTGACCCAACCCACTCAGCCACCGAGGCTTCCACAAAAAATGGAAGTCTGACAACTGGTAGTCTAGATCACATACTTTGTGTATTCCTCTAATAAGTGTTAATTGGCATGGTTCCCATGTTTTGTTTGTTGTTTAACGCCGCACTCAGCAATATTCCAGCTATATGACGGCGGTCTGTAAATAATTGAGTCTGGATCAGACAATCCATCGATGACATGTATCAACCAAGTCAGCAAACCTGACCACCCAATCCCGTTAGTCGCCTTTTACGACAAGCATAGTCACCTTTTACGGCAAGCATGGATTGCTGAAGACCTATTCTACCCCGGAATCTTCACGTGTCCATGGCTCCCATGGCCGAAAGACAAATTTGTTTTCAATTTGTCCATCCAAAACCAATCATGCTAGTTAGCCTGCAAACATTGATATGCCATAAAACAGGAAAGTGTGGCTAAAGGTACCCCCTACCATGACGTGTGGTGTCCTCAGTGAGTGACGGATGAACCTTCTTTCCCCCTGCACCTCCCTCTCCATCAGCATGCTTACGTTTCCTGTGTTTCTTGTGCCTGAGAAACAAATCAATTAAACAGTTTTGAATAATTCAGGAGATTCAATCATGCAATTCACTTTCTGCTGTATTTTTTGTAAAGTGCATGAATGTACCGGGGTACCATATTTTTCACGAGTAGTAATAAGTAGTAGTATGAGTCAATTCAGTCTCGTGATAACAATGAAGAAGTCCTTCGGGAGGTAAATCAAATGAATTACATAATTGTCAATAGTTCCATATGCTCCTCTATACAAAACCCACAGAGTAACGATGATCATTTAACACATGACATGATCTGGTATTGTAGTCATGGTAGTTTAAAAGTTATCAGGTTACCAAAACTATTTCAGACTCTAACTTGTCATGTTTATTCATTACTGATTACAAGATCATGATGATTAACAGAATTTTGTACATTGTTGTACCCAAATCAAGAATGCAAAACAAAATCAACAAGCACACATAATCATGATAATTGATGTATCAAACTTGTTATTTTTGATGGACAAGATATTTCCTACACATGGGCAAAGGTCATAATCTTCCTTTGATAGTGTGAATGTTGTTTAGAATAACACAGTCTGCAATACTCAAGCAAAATTACTGTTACCATGGTTACCTGTACATAATTAAGGCTGAACCAGGCAAACCAATGTTTGAACTTACTCACTAAAGATCATGTGCAATGATCAATGTCATGTGAAGATGACAGCTACAGCCAGATATAGCCGAGAGCCGAGACGGGGTTTGACAGTCAAAAACATGATCCTACATGGAGAGTCATGTCTTGACTGTCTGACCCCATTGCAGCTCCCTGACAATTATCATTATGATTATGATACAATATCCAATAAAGAACATGTGGTCTACCATGGTCTAATATAGAATGGTTGAACTAGTTGTTTTACATTTTCAACCAGTAACGTTCCTGCTGTATCAGTGCAGTGTGTTAAAAACATTGAGTCTTGGCTTGGCACTCCAAGGGTTGTTAGCATGAGCAGCGGTCATCACCATCACTGGGCGTCAGTGTAGGATGACATATCGTCGTAGGTTTTTGTACATCAAACAGGGGGTGTAGCATCACACAGATATTGTAAATACTCAGATGATGGCTTGTTTTTAAGAGTTGTTGTCTTTTATAAGTGAATGATATGTTTTACAGTTGTTCATGAGATTAGAGAGAAAGCTACGACTGTTTCTTAAGCGTCCGAAAACCCACAACACAGCGATACAATCATTTCCTTAACACTCCGACCACCAGTTCAGTCGGCTGTCAAATTCGGCCAATATACAATACCCAATGGATTTAGAAACCGTAATATTCTAACTTACAAACCCTGCATACGTACGTCTAACCTTATTTGGTCTACGGGGCAGTATTTGTGTACAGTACGTGTACGCTAGATTAGCTTATGTTCTGAAAATGAGCGAAAACTGAATTCGTTTTCCGTACGATTCGAAAAACATTCAACACGCAAAGCCCCGCTTTATTACTGTAGTGCCTCCGATATCAACTCACTTTTCCTTGTGACCTTTCAATTTCAGTTTTCCACCTTTAACCTTAGAGTAGGAATCAGCCATGGTAAGACCAATGTAAAGTTAGATCAGTATTCGTATATTTGATTAAAATATTGAGGTTAAGCGTCACCCATGGGCGCAGCCATGTTTCATCTCGCGTTTTCTCGTTCTGATGACAATCGGAAGTAAACAAACACACCACGTGACTTTTTGACAGGTGGTTAGTGCTTTTGTTGTTATCATACTACAGCGTGTTTTTTGCGCACATGAAGAGAAGATGATGTCACTGAGAGGGGAAATTCTAACAAAGAAAATCTGAAGTTGTCAGTTCATTCATCTCGAATGTAAGTTAATGAACATTTATCATATGAAATTGTTCTTATTTAGATAATGTTTTAGATTGATTTTTTTCCATTCATATGTAACAGTTATCAGCTGGTAATACGGTATCCACAGTGCATTGAGTTCAGTAGTACAGCCATGTGACAACGACTTCGCAACATATGCACATATTATGACTAGGTTTGGAATTCAAGGAGGGCCTAACTAGATCAATCAAACAATAATCCAAAGGTTCATAAACAATGTCACTGAACCATCACATATTTTTAATTAGATAAACGAACAAAAGTGGGTTTTGGTTTTGATATTGAAATTCAAACATCCTGAAATGTAATGTCTTTGCCTGAAATAATTATGACATCATCCCAAACTCAAATATACTGTCAAATGACAGGTGCCACAGACATATGAAGCATTGTAAATGTAATGTATATATATTAATAATTTCATACGATATGGGATTGAAACAAGTTGCAGATGTGTATCTATATTTCTTGATATTTGAACATTATAAGAAGTCATTATGTGGACATTGAAATCTATGTGGCATATTCACTGTAATAAGTGCCCTGGACTCTTTGAAAGTTGGGGGCAGTTGGGTAGCCTAGTGGTTAAAGCGTTCGCTCGTCACGCCGAAGACCCGGGTTCGATTCCTGACATGGATATAATGTGTGAAGCCCATTTCTGGTGTCCCCTGCCGTGATATTGCTGGAATATAACTAAAAGCGGCGTAAAATCATACTCACTCACTCACTTAGAAAGGTGACAAAGGGTGAGGGGAGGGGGCTTGTTTAAACCATATACAACACACATTAAATTTGTTTTCAGAGATTGAGCGGTAGTGAACCAAGTTAGCTGAAGTGTAGATGATAGTTACATTGTTATTACATACCCCTTCTAAGCTACTGACTTCTGCAGTATACACAAGAAAATATAGGGCTGCCTATTTTGGTCTTAATAGGGATTATTTAAAGATTGGCCTGAAATTTGGCAAGGGGTGTTTATTGAAGCAGGGTGTTTAATATGTTGAATATGGAATTCTAATTAACCTATATAAGATTTCAGACTATGTTTTACATAGTGCCCTTTTGAACGGTTAGTGGAACCATATATGTTACAGTCAATGTGTAACATGACTGAAATTTTCACTTAGACAATTTACAAAATGACAAAATATTTGAGTGATTTTACAATTATTTTTTTCATTTATTATATTATGATAACAAATTCCAAACATTATTATGCTCTATTTCATCACCCAGTCAGCAAAAATGAAAGGATTAAAAGAAAATAAAGGTCAATGTATATTTTGTTTATATTTGGGCTTCTAGTCCCAGGATAATTAGTCTGTTGTGATGTTTTTAAACCCTTTGAAACTTCTCAATAACTGTTTGTCAATCTTACGGGAATTTTTTTGTAAAATTACTGAAATAATTTATTATTATGTTGTTTTGCCAATTGCCTAAGTGAATCTGTTAGCAGAATACATGGAATGAAGAGGAAACAAAGAGGAAATGTAATTACATAAATTCACATGCTGATTACAAAAATAAAGATGGACACTACACATCCTAATATAACCTTGTTAATCCAGACAGTACACAACCTTGTCAATCCAGATACTACACATCCTAATGCAACCTTGTTAATCTGGACAATACATCCAAATACAGCCTTGTTAATCCTGACACTAAACATCCTAATATAACCTTGTTAATCCATACAGTACACATCCTAATGCAACCTTATTAATCTGAACGATACATCCTAATACAAACTTGTTAACCCAGACACTACATATCCAAACATCCTTGTTGATCCAGACGTACACGTCCTAATACAAACTTGGCAATCCGGATGAAACACATCCTATTACAACCTCGGCAATCTAGACAATACTCTTTCCTTAAAATCCAGGGAAAAAAGTTTTCAGAACCATCAAAACATGTCAAATTGATCAGTTGTCTAGAATTTGTCCAGAAAGTGAAGTTTCCAGACTGAGGAGGTCCAGACTGTATATGTGTTTGAGGTCCAGAAACCTAAGATTATATATACCTGACAGGACAAGTTTAACTCAGCCTTTATCTTTGAAAAACAAAGATATCTGATTTTTCCCCTCAGAATCTGAGGTAATGGGGTAGACTAGAGACCAAACACTTGCTTTAGGGCTGGAATGTGTAACTCGGGTACCCGGGTCGGGTGGGTACTGAGTAGGACACAGGTACCCACAGGATTACCCGGACCCGTGTTTAGTCATGTGATATATTGTCTAATGACTAAAATTATCTGGAACTCCATGGTTACACTACAAGTCATTAATGTTGGTTTCTCTTTCTGACTATGCACCCAATCCTTCTGATTTGTCATATGGATGAATAAAGATATAACTTAAGTTAACTTCAGTGTATGCATGACCAGATTGTTTAATACATGTATCTAAATACGTTTTGCCAGGGCTATGCTAAAAAAAGTTCCCAATCGGACATTTTGAGACATCTCCTGAGACCTACAGTGGGTACCCGGGTAGGGTCGGGTAATAGGGGAGCGGGTACCCGGGTAGTAAATTTGGACTTGTCCCAGCCCTAACTTGCTTCATATTCAAAGACCAGGGTGTATTTCCCATGTGGGTACAGTGTGTAGCCATAAAGTCCCCTGTCATGATATGGCTGGAATAAGGCAAACACCACTGTAAATCCATACACAGTTGCTCACTCAGCAATTGATTATATGAATATCAAGCATAGAAATGTCTTGTACAAATATTCATATTCATTGCAGTATCTTTCACAGTGAGAAACACCTTTTTAATGATGTTTGCACATGAAGCCTATCACGAATTGAATCTAGTTCATCCAGCCATTCACCCATCACCAATTGCTCTAGTGTGATCAAGCTAATATATTGATGCTGGTTGAAAGAGCATTGATTCGTCCCTACAGGTAATGATAAAGGTCTTGCGTATAAGGTTGGAATACAATAGAGCGTGAAATTTATTTCTTTACTATTGAGTGTGTTGTATTGGATAATATTGATTGCATATCGCTTAAGTGATGAAGGGAGTATGGACCGTAGAAATTGCTATACCCTATGAGGTTTGTGGTTTTGGAGCACTTTCTTGTACTTGGTATGCAAGATTTTCTGAAGACACTAGATAAGGCTCCGTAAAAGGGTTTGTATGCTTTACATATGTATGTTTACAATTTTTTACAATTTTATCTGAGGTAAATTAGAAAATAGGGCAAATAAATAAACGAAATAAATAAATATTTCAATGATGAAGAATCTCAGGTTTTCATTATATTTTGCATTTCCATTTTAAGAATTGACAGTTTTCCATCAAGGACTCTGCTCAGTTAAAAAGAAATTCGTCTTGACTCATTGTTCATTTAGCCATGTTGGCAGTCACTCTTTATGAAATCTGATTGTATAGCTGATTATATATTTATTTTATTGCGTGCCATGTTGTCACTACATGAGTAAAATATTGGAACAAATACTGTTCATTCCAAGTCGGGAATTTGAGACCTGTAGAATTTGTTTGCAGTGGAAAGTCACCATCATGCTGATTCATTCAAGTGATGTCTCTGTGTTGTGTGATAAACTTTGATGTTGATAGATACATTGTTTACTGTGTCAATTGTTTACTTACCAAGTCTGTCTGGCATGATGATGATGATATGTGCAGAGGGAATTCCACTGCCATGTATGTGTTATGTGTGTATATGAAAGTAAAGAATTTTCAATCCTATGTCCCTTATAACACCTGGTCCCTCTACAAATCTCCCTGTCCCACATCACCCTCACAAAGTTATAGAAATCCATTCCAAGTGTTTGAGTCATGAAATTAAAGTCACTGGACAATGCATCAGCAAATGTAATAGTTTCTTTTATGGCAGCCAAGACCAAACTTGTTTTGTACATGACCCAACTTTAATTTGTCAAAAGTATCAAAAATATATTGTGAAAACTTTAGCTCAAGTTAAGCTTGTTTCAAATCATTTTATTTCTTTTAAAGACTTTAATATGTATAATTATAGCTAAAATGGATAGAATTATTATTAAACCGCCCGCATGTTATCAGAGATGAGCAGGCCACTGTAGCTTGATAATGCCCTCATATTGCATGACAACATGCCATTATCACGCCCGTTGTTAGGTGACGTCATACTGATGTTTAATAGTGATGTCTGATCTGGTCTGTTCTGTGACATTTCCATATTTGTAAAAGTGGATGAGTGATATTCATTGTGTGTTGACTGCAGTAAATGTTTCAAAACCGATATTGTTGTTTATATTTATCTGATACCAAATTCTATCCGTTTTAGATATTATACAGGTAACGCTATTTTTTCAAGGCATTTTAATTTGCAGAAGCCCTCAGTCTTTTCAACTGCTCTCCTTCATCAGGCAGTTAATGGAAGACCTTGGGCTTCTGGAAATGATAATGCCCTGAAAAATACCGTTACCCTTATAATATTCATGTTAGTAAGATCCTGCACTCAAAACTCAACCATCACTTTTTTCTTTGTAATTCAGCAATGGTAAAAGATTATAATTTGCCACAAGCAACTTGGTATATAAACCTAGAAAATCCGTAAAACGAGATACAACATTAGCCTGGCCTAAATAGTATTTCTAATGTCCCCATAAGTGTCAGTCAGGTAATGAGAGCCTTTGATGTGTTCTAGGCCTCCAAGGTGTGTGGCATATATATCAAGTGTCATGTCTCCAGATTGAGCATTGTGTCAGGACTTGTGTGCGGAATGTCTGGAATTGTCTGGTTTTATTTACAGGAGAGTCATCTTTACACACAAGATTGTAGATATAGAGCTTCTTCAGGTAGTTCGATAAATTGTGCACAGCACAGTGTCATTTTGAATATTGCAAAATTAAATGGTAAAAGAAATATGATGAAAGTTACCTTTTTCAGATACTGCTAGAGTGTAAATATCACATATTGGTTAAACAAATACAATTAGGGATGGGACGGGACCAGATTCACTACCCGGGTACCCAATCCCCTATTACCCGACCCTACCCGGGTACTCGCTGTAGGTCTTGAGAGATTGGTACAAAATGTCTGATAGGGAATAGTTTGACCAGAGCCCTGGCAAAAAAGTATTTAGGTTCACTATAAAACGATCTGGTCATGCATAACTGAAGTTGACTGAAGCTTTATCTTTATTTAAAATTATGTTTCAGAAGGAATGTGTGAGTTGTCCGAAAGAAATGTGAACTTTCGTGACCTGTAGTGTATTCACTGAGTTATATTTTTGTCTTTAGACAATATATCACGTGACTAACCACAGGTCCAGGTAGTCCTGTGGGTACCCGGGTCCTACTCAGTACCCACCTGACCCGAGTACCTGTGTCATCTGTCCCAGCCCTAAATACAAATATGCTAAAATGTAATATACTTTTATAAGTATAATACTTTTATAATGTAATATAACATTCAAGCATTTTAAACCATAACATCTGAAAGTACTTGGACAAAGTGTAACATTAATTTTCCTTGACTGAATTAACATAGGAACTATTGGGAACCCTCTACTGACATACAGTTTTCATGCCAATGTATTATGACAACAAATATGTACACTGAAGGTGCCATACCACTGATATTTGCCAACTATGAATGGAAGATGATTTACAGAGTATCCAGTATTCTATACCTGCATGGTAGGTTATGAATACCGTATTCGACGTAAGAAGCGCTCCGCTCTAATAAGCGCCCACGGCGATATTTGCTTATATATTGGCAAGTGAACAATCCCAATTAGCACCTTTCCGATTGATCAATGTACACAAGACTTATTTATTCGCGCATAATACGCACTCGTGTGTTATATGCACCCTTAATTATGGGCAATTAAATTCTGGAAAAATGTATCTCTCGTATATAAACATTTCAGGCTGTCAGCATAAACCACAAAATGTATCTTTCAACTCTGTTTTTTTTCCACCAAAATAATATTCTAATAAGAGCCCCCTATTTCTAATTTTGAGAGCGCCCTGAGCGCTTATTACGTCGAATACGGTAAGTATAACCATTGAAGTGTAGTGGGATCAAACTCATATTGATACAGCTGCTTTCTCCCCAGTTACTATGCGGTACCCAGGTGTAATCCAAATAGTTATGTAAATCAGGTTAATCTGTAAGCACATATATCATATACGATTAGTTCCAGCTGGGAAAAAATGTAACTGATGTGATTACCGTCCTACTTTACCAAATCAGAGGCTGAAAGCTGTTATTGGAACATTGTCTAGAATTTGTTGCTTGTAGGCTATGTATTCAATATTTGAGTTTCTAATAAATCTTTAAGAAGGAAAATGGGAAGGTTAAATTTTGATTTTGGTTTTGTTTTGATTTCCCAAATACCTTAACCTAAATTAATTATTATACAATGTAAAAGCAATGACACTCATCCATGGTTTCAAACTCAAACATGGCTGGTCGTCAAGATGGATTACATGAAAAAGTGTAGCTTCGGAAGGGAAAATATTAATAAAAATCGGGAAATGCAATTATTTTGATATAAATAGGGTTGCTTGGTGATGAGACAAGAGTGTTTTCATATAGTCTAATATAAGGATGTTGGCCTGAATCAGTGTTATTTGCAGAGTTGATTCCATAAGGTAAACAATTATTTTTACTTTTCTCATTCGTGTTTCATTTTACAATAAACTATTGATTGAACAAACTCATTTGATGTTTAGATACTGTCACAATGTTTTCACTCTAATTATGATGTATTATTCATATACACTCACTTCATTGCATGTTCAGTCAGGAGCCAAATAAGTTATCAGAACCATTATCGATTGAACAGACTCATGCAATGTTGAGTTATTACGGCAAATTGTTCACTGATATTATTCAAATTGTGGTCACATCGTCCACAATTATTGATTGAATAAACACAGGTGATGAGTTAGATATGATATGACATTGACAACTTGTATTAATAATGATATATGTTCATATTAATAATTCAAAACTGAACCAAGTTTTCGACAAGTAATTTGGTATGTGGGAATACTTATTAGAGTAATGATTAATAACATCAATACGTCAAAACGACAAAAAAATATATATGTTGGTTAATATATGAAGAAGTACTCGTATTCAAGAGATATTAGATTGGTTTGATGCACAAATGAACATACTGGTATAGTGTGTCAACTGACGCTCATGAATGCATAACATAGGACGTCATAGATCCATGACTCGAGATGCACCATTTGTCTCATGCAGGATTAGTGTGTTAAGTTTGGAAATCACGTGCAGCATTTCGCGATAAGAATAAAGTCACTGTGTGGTAACACTTGGCTGATTGTTAGTTTGTCATAAATTGGTACACATTGAAACATCTCTTCTTAACGTACATACTTCTCTACGTTTCTATGGTTGGCGTTTCTTTTGGCAGTGAGTATATAACACGAATCACCCTTGTATTGTTCCTAGTTTTCATTGTTAGAGGTAACCCAGTTCCTTGCTGATGTAAGTCACACAATTTTCTCGTTGTGATGGCCCACTTTCAATTGTTGACCCGCACAGACGATGAGCTAGTGTTAAAATTAGCACTCGTCTTCCCATTATGCCTGCACCAACTGACACATAAACATATTCTTAGTGGGTCAGAGAAGGACGGAATATCATTTGGCAACCATTGTGATGAACAGAAACAGTCCAGTTCCCAAATACATATTCATAATGTTTTATATTCAGTGTCAAAGGATATGATAATCATAGACTAAGTCGTCTGTGATAAGAATTGGGTGTTCCCACATGAATTATCTATACTGAATGTGTATCGAGTTGGCCATGATTCAGTTGAATCTTTCAGTGGGCAGTTGAATCCAGTTTAACCAGGTTACTGCTTGTTTGTTTTTGGTTGAGGTACATTCTTGCATACCTTGACGACAGGGCAGCAGACTGGAAAATCAGGTTGACAAATCTTTGAAGGAGAAAATATCTATGTCATAGAAAAGAAAAAGTGTTTCTATGTTAATGTATCTGTTACACTTGATCAGGTACTTACTGTACTGTCAGAATTTTATTATTTTATAGTTTTTTATTTTTCTTGGTAGCAGAAAATCATTGAAGTATGATGTGAGAATAAGATCGCATTTGGTTGTGATTAATTGAATTACTGAAATGTTTATGAAATATGGCCAAACATTTTACAGAGCCAGATGAATTCATTTTTGTATGTTTATGTATTTTCTTGCCAAATATGCTGTGAGGCAGGTAGCAAAATAAAAACTGTAAGGGACGTAAATCTTTTAGAAATACAAAATTACAAACAATGTTTGAGTTCTGTCATACTGGCAAAAAATACTTTTGCAAAAGTCAGTAAATCTCTGTTAAACGACATTTTGTACATTTCCTTATGAGAATGTATGTAAAGATTTTAGGTGTCAGGTTTATAAAAAAATATAAAAAATGAATTTATATTTATATATGTTATAAAATAAGAAAATGTTATTGAAAAGAGTTGGATGATGGTCGTTTATGAAATGATTAGGTGGAAATAAACACATTTATTACCACTTTTTATTTATCCAAAGTAGTGCTGTGTTTTTTGGCTTACTTACTTTTGCAGTATTTAGGTAAGGCTCATCTACGAAATAAAAACCATTGGTCTGTTCAAAATATGTATATAAAGTTTATGTACATAATATGAGAAAATTGCATTGCCAATATGTTATGGCCCATGGGTAACTGTAGGTTCCGCACAATGACCACGATTGTTCAGCTCGCTGTTAAGGCCAAGATTGATGGACCAATAACACATTATACATGATTAATCCAGACAGGTCCAGTCACATCAAACACCTCCTCGCGATGAAACTTAAGCAAACAACACATACATATTGATTCGAGTACTAACTTGTCGTGACAACACCTGGTAACCATGACAACAGCATCGAGGGTCAGTGGGTCAGCTATTACAGCTATTACACCTCGCTATGTAAACGTAGCTGACCGAGAAATTCCTCCTTGTTTAGATTGACAGATGTTGTTAAGTTTGTGTGATGTTGTGATGATACATCGTCCGTGAAACTCACAGTCACTTTGAGTGCCTAGAAGTAGGTGATGATTGATGATGTGGTAGACGCTTTTGTGTCAAGGCCATTCATGATTAGGGTGAGTGAGTATTGTTTTATGTCGCTTTTAGCAATATTCCAGCAACATCACGGCGGGGGACACCAGAAATGGGCTTCACACATTATACCCATGTTGGGAATCGAACCCAGATCTTCGGCATGACGAACGAACGCTTTAACCACTAGGCTACCCGACCGCCCCTTTTATGATTAGAAAGATTCATTAAAGCAAAAACATTCTTTTTAACCTGTTATTAATTGACATTATTGTAATTTTTATAAGTGTAGCCTCTTAATAAAAGATTAATCAGCTGTAATTGAATTTGAAGTTACGAGTTGTAGTCTTTGCTTATACATGTATATCTTTTGTCCTACATGTTTTTTTAAAGACCAGATTCCTCAAATATGAAGCAAATGTCAAATAATTAAATAGGCAATGTTTCTTTGAAAAAGTCGCTTTGAAACATTTTGTTGGCATTTGTCTGAACTTTCATTACAAGTTCTTTTTATTATATTTTCCAAAAGAACAAGAACACAATAAATGTATTGAGTAAGTTTTTTTAATTTAATTGTTCGATATTATTTCAAGTCATTTGAGGTAATTTCGTATTAATTTCTAAAACTTAAAAAATTGAAATCAGTTGTAGTAGAAACCTTTGGACATTGTGCCTCAGTTTCTCAGTAAGGCAAGTTTAGGCAACAAACATATGATAGACAGTCTCCTTTCCAATGTTGGTGGAATGAAGTGTTTGTAAAGCCCCGAATCAGACAATTAAGGCCACCAGTGACTCGGATCGATTAATGGTAATACTATGAAGCAGGTATAGACACCTGGTTCTACTGTATTGTTACTGTAACCAAACCACCGTGACGTGACCCGGTTAGGCCGTCATGGATGATCGATGCAGCTCTGTGATAGCCGTAGATTAGCATCTTTGGCTGACTAACATCGTGTGCTCTCCACGGGTAGTGGCCGAACTAGCCCAGTGGGTCGTCTGCTCGTCACGTTCTGACTGAATCAGTAATTAAACACTGCCAAGATGGCTGAAGCCCAGCCCCCTAGACCAACAGAAACTGAGGGAGATGAGACGGAAGACGTGCTGCTCTCTGACTCACTATCAGCTGATCGGGGGACGGCAGTGGTCTTACAGGTGAGATTTGTACAGTGGAACTTACAGTGACAGCGGAACAGGGGGACGGTGACTGCAGGTATTCACATCGTGTCTGTGTTATATCAGAGGTAGGACATGTCATAGAGACAGATGGATGTCGGGCTGATGGTAGATGGATTGACAGGTAGTGGGACACAGGTAGATGGATAGATAGGTAGGACATTGGTAGATGGACATATTGGTAGAAGACACAGAAGACATGTATAATACTGATGATGATGATGATGATGATGATGATGATGATGATGATGATGATGAAATAAATTACAATAATAATGATAATAAGTCCACTTATATATTGAATACTTATAGTGCTTGAAACTATATTGTTACATGTAAAGATTGTGGAGTTTACGAAGAGCGATAAACTTTGAACATTCAATTGAAAACTTATTATCGGAAGTAGTAACATGCATAACATTTTTTTAATAATGACAACATTGGTGTATAATAATAACTTTATTGATAATTTATAACAATAATAGCTCTAGTCGTGGCAACTTCCAAACTTTTGGGAAGTTGTGATCTATCCGACCGTCATTCGGGCGATTTTTCTGACAGATCACGATCTGAAAAATACTATCATGAAAGTGTATCCCGTGGATAAGCCGACCCCTTTCTACAGAATCTTTTTTCTGGTCCTCAAAATTCGGCTTATACGCGGCCATATACGGTATTACCCGGTCTTTGGATCACTTGATTTTCATTCTCACCTCCCTGAGGAGTATACAACCCAGGCTGCCTGTGAGGTGCTCAAAAGTTAACAGCCACATGTACATGTGCTTCAGCGTGGGGCAGGACCGAAGCCCTAGAAACTCTCAGTAGTCAAGTTGCCGAACACGATCACCCATCCAAATATTCTCTGAGACCATTCCTTAACTTGCGTTGTTCACAGGACCACAAAGTTTTCTTTGTTAAAAAACAAATTGATCAATTATTATTTAAAAAGTGTTGTGCTTGTACTTCTCTAATCTGTCACAATTGGGCAAAAAAAATATAATGTTGATCTAGTTATTTTTTTGCTGTGGCTGGATTTGTTTAAAAAATAAATGTGCAAAACAAACAATTTCCAATTTTGACCTCACCTATCCATCATCAGACTGTCTGGTGTTAATGATCATATTTTGGACATCTCCTCTAAATACAAGGCCCATGAACGTGATGAAGTTGCGACTTTGTATGAGTTATCCTAGCTATGGTAAGTTTATGAAGATTTGTATGCAGCAAGCATGTGGTATGCAGAATAGCATGGCCTACAATATTTGCTCATCTGACCGAAATTCAAGTGGCCAGTGTTTCCATCGTCCATCGTGAATTTGATGTGTCGTCAGCATCTTCTGATCAGAGTCAGTTATTTGTTTGTTTGTTGTTTAAGCCGCACTCAGCAATATTCCAGCTTTATGACGGCGGTCTGTAAATAATCGAGTCTGGACCAGACAATCCAGTGATTAATATCATGCGCATCGATCCACTCAATTGGGATCAATGACATGCTTCAACTAAGTCAGTGAGCCTGACCACCCGATCCCGTTAGTCACCTTTTACGACAAGCACAGTCACCGTTTACGGCAAGCATGGGTTGCTGAAGACCTATTCTACCCCGAAATCTTCACGGGTCCGGAGTCAGTGAAGCTGAAACTTCACATGTTTCACCAATGATGGCATCCATTTTGTGCAAGAGATTCAAATCTGAATATGGTGACCCATGAAGATCAGGGGCATAATTAATCTCTGGATTGTCCGGTCCAGACTCGATTATTTACAGATCGCCGTCATGTAGGTGGAATATTGCTGAGTGTGGCGTTAAACAACAAACCAACCAACCAACTGAATATGGCAGGCATATTGAAAAAAATATTACATGGCCATTTCTCTTCAAATAGATTTAGTACTGTTTTTCATCTCGATTTGACCTTTGCACTTTGACCATACTACCGGTATATATCAAATTATGTGACTCACCATGAGAAAAGGTCCCTTATGGGTTCTAGGATACAAGTGTCCTGTGATGTCCTAAAGATGTTTGATGTCAACTTACTTCCGTAAAAATCGCCATGTGTGCAGACTGTAAGAAAATATCTTATTTTTCTCTTGTTTGTTGGTTATGTAATAAAACATTATTGCAAAACATTTCAGCATCAAAATATACTTATATTTAATTAGACATTATCTAAAAACTGCAATGGTTAAATAAACAGTTATAAGTCTGAAAATGGGACTTTGCAGAAAGTCAGTCCAAATGTTTGATGCCATGCATCTCTGTAGCAAATATGAATTGTAGCTCATTAATTGAATTTCTGTGATCCTAAGATACTGTAGTTTCAAAATTAAAAAAAAGTCAAAATGTGATTTTTCACCCATAAGCTCCTTTATCTCATGATTGGTCCCATATATGTTACGTTTTTCTTAGACCTGTGAAGATTCAGGGTAGAATAGGTCTTTAGCAACACATGCTTGCCGTAAGAGGCGACTATGCTAGTCGTAAGAGGCGACTAACATGATCAGTTGGTCAGGCTTGCTGACTTGGTTGATGCATGTCATCGATCCAAACTGCGTGGATCAATGCTCATGATGTCAATCACTGGATTGTTCGATCCAGGCTCGAAATATTGCTGAGTGCAGTGTTAAACAACAAACAACAAGAACAACGACGTTATTCTTCATAGATATTTTAGATATGAACCTTTATTTGACTTTTTTCACTTTGACATGCTTCTAAATTGTCTTAGAATGCATATCCTTTCACTGTAAACATCATCAGCTCAGAAACCGCTGGACCAATGGAGCTGAAACTTCACAATGCTTGTTCCCACCAATGGGTGACCCCTAAATCTACTGAACCTATAGTTTGACTCAGCTGCCATATTGAAAAAGGTCTATTAATGGTCAAATCTCAGCCATTTTGGCACTAAATGTAACAGTAGTTATATCACACAAAAACAAATTGTTCCAGAAATTTGTTTAAAAAAAATGTCTGCCACAGAAATTACATTGTTGCAAGGTGTTTTTCTTTAAAAAAATTACAGGCTTATGGTTATAGTTTAAAAAAAATGTCTGGTTTTGTAGATGAAGAAATCCCAGCCCCCCAGTCTTCAGTATTTATGCAGAAACTTTGAAAATGTTGACACAACATGTTTTTTAAGTGTCAGTCTTAGTTGCCATTTTAAACTATAGACTATAGAAAGGTGAGCTACAGTGTTGTGGTACTTTTTTTTGCATCTCCTTCATATAAAGATGTTTTAAAGTTGGCCTGAGTTGTGTGAAGCTAGCTACTACTGACTTCTAGGGTGGGACCAGTGCAGTGAGCCATGAGTCTCGAGAGTTCATTACTCTAGCATGTGTTGATGTGTTGTAGCATTGAGCCACCCAGGTACTCATAACAGGCTTTGTATGGAGGATCACCTTTGTATGTCAGTGTTGAATGCTTAACCAGATTGACTAGTTGACACGTGTATGAGTTGTTTATGTAGCAACTAAAAGACAGAGTAGCCAGTTAAAGATTGGTTCTTTGGTGTATGAATGGGCAATACAGTGACATCAAATGTCATTCTACATTTCAGTGTTCTGCATGTGACAGGTAAAGCTTAGACTTGCTTCAAGGCTTGTCTACAAAAGTTTACAAAAGTGACAAATAAATAGTACCGGTAGGTGCTTAAACTAGTCTATTTGTTTCAATGGTATCAAAATAATTTTTGATTTTTTACTTCTTTCTTTTCATATTTTTTGTGTGTTAATATAATGGTCAAATATTGTCATTCATATAATGAGAAGAGAACGTGATTCAGTCTAGGGTGTGACTCATAGCTACACCTCCTCGTATTGTTCTGATGTTGTCAGATACCATGAGAGACCATTATTGGAAAAAAGAAAGGAGAACATGCATAGCAATATGCAGATCGTGAACTGCAACACAGAGTAAAGTTGTTGGTTACCTTGCATTGGCGTTCTTCTTTCCAAGGTTCGGCAGTGGCATCGGCACCATCATGAAGTTTACCAGTGAACTAGTAAGATTATATATATTTGTCAGACTCTAGTCTTCATATACGTTCTTTAATAGTTCTTAGACTGAGGGACTAAGCAATTGATGTGTGTGTGTGTCTGCGTGTGTCTGCATGTGTCTGTGTCTAACAATAATCCCAGGCTGAGTTGAAGGTCTAGTACAGATTGATATACACCTGTTGAAACATTTGTTTAAAAAAGGAAGCCTGACATGTTATTTTGTCTCCTCAATATAATGTTTGATTTTAAAATATACGCTTTCTGTCATGATTATTACTGTGAAAAATGTATTTTAGAAAAAAAAGCAGATGACTTTGGGGCTGTTAGTTTTTCCCGGGCTGACTTTGTTATGTATATGAAAAGATTCAAACATTTCAGCCACTGGGTCATCAAAAACAAAGGAATGTGACACTGGCTTCATACAAGAAACAGTGTCATCAAAACTCGGAACTCTCTTTCTGCGCTCACTTGATCAAGTAGATTCACTGCAGTAATTCATTTTGTTATTTAATTTCCGCCAAGAATCTGTTTCACATTTTCAATAGAAACTATTAATACAAACACTTCCCCATATTTAAAAATACTTCCTTCAACCCTGTTGACATGTTCAGCTGCCTGGAGGTAATACTTGCAGACATGATTCAGTGTACTGGTGGTTATTGCAGGCTGCTGTGTGTTATCTGGCCAGGTATTTAATGATACTTGAAGTGATGACCTTCAAGCTGACCCAGGTAACGGCCATTAGTCTACCTGTAATTACCACGACAGGTGTATTCAACTAATGCCTCGGTAGTGGCATGTAGAAGATGTATACCCTTAGGGTTTACAGTGAAACCTCGTTAGTCAGGTCCTTGGTAGTGTGGACCCTGAAAGTCTGGTCCCTGTGACTATGGACCCTGATAGTCTGGTCCCTGTGACTATGGACCCTGATAGTCTGGTCCCTGTGACTGTGGACTCTGTGGCTATGGAACCTTGCAGTC